CCCGATCCCACCCGAACCAATATTTTTTACATTGACCCGAACCGAAACCGAGACAATCGGATCCGACCGGACCCGTTTCGGTCTCCGTAAGAAACCTATATGGTGACCTGATCCAGTCGAAAAATAATAGAGAATTCGCAATCGATCCTTACCTAATCTAGATGGTGATGACCTAAACTAGTCAGAGAATAATAGAGAATTCGCAATATTTATCAGCCATTTGCCTCACGGATTCGCACAGTGGATCGTCGATCTCTAATTGGGAATCAATCATATCACTTGCTGATGATACACAACAATAGTTCGAATAGTAATCGCTTATGATTTGGTTGAAGTTCTTAACAGAAATTGGTCAGAGTCAATTTATCATAGATTCGATCAAGTCAGACGCATAGGTGTCTCAGATATTGCTTTTGATGTCAGTATTTTGTTGCTTTCTCACAGAACTGATGTTGAACACCAATTATTTTTTTGCCCACATTGAAAAGTATTCTACAAACCTATCACATGAACTACACTGTCACCTAAATTGTGACTTTTCGTATGCAACAAAACATCTGTATACCTGACAAGGTTGTCGTATTGCAGCCATAGAATGTTCATTATGTATTTCTTTCTCACTATAACAAGCTTGACATAAATCATAATTCGGACATTGTAAACGTTCATAACGAACACTAGTAATTGGTAATTGCTGACAATCTGTAGAAAAGATGCAAAATTTTATGCGTGCAAATACTGTTTCGAAATAAGCCGTGAAAAAGCTTATTGGCGCCCTCGGTCTAAAGCGTAACTTCTCCATTCAAAAGTGATGCGATAAGGTGGATCTGAATGAAACATACCTACACTTGTGCATATTTATAAGCGCTTACAAGTACTTGCTCTTTTCATTACTTCATTTGTAATAATAAAAGTTGCTGAGCATCGAATTCTCGAAACGTTCGACAAAGAGATGAGAGCTTATGCACGTTATGCATGCTTAAGATTGAGAAAGTAAACAGCAATACTGCCTATAGGAAAAATAGAAAAGAACATCTAAGTTTCATACAACCTGATATAACTTCTTGTATCACAAAACGAATGCCTTTATATATCCGTAGAAAGTTCTAGGGATGTTCGCATGACATTGTAGTCTGAACTCATGCCTGGACATTAGTGTAGAACCTTCGAGAATAAGTGAGATTATATAAGATACAATAGACATGCGAATATCTAGATGTACTAACATTAAATCAAAAACATCATTTTAAAACAAAATGATTAGTCAATGCCCCACAGAGTAGTTCGCGAACATTAGTGGGAGGATGTTTTATCTGAGTTACCTTTTTTATTGGCGCCACAGCCAGCCTCTACATTCGTTATTGCTCGTGGCTAACAGACGTCCGCAAGCGTCAGGGAGAGTGGAGGGTAAGGCGGGCTTTCACCCCCCCTTATTCACACCCTTATTTTTCCTCTTTCCTATTTAATATTTTCATCTTTAATATTTACAGCTGTCGATGTAAAAATCTTCACCCGCCAACCTCGTTATAAATAATAAGTTTGAAATTCTTTAAGTTAACTGTCATGTAGACGATTTGCTTCGAAGCCAACCGAACGCACTTCATTTGAATAATTTCCAAACATTTCTTCGAATAGTGAAAGAACAGGAGCATTTGTATACAGTTGCGGTTCATAAAGTTTTCGAATGTGTGTACCAATATTTGTTCCCATGCCAATGTAAACATAACGACAACCATCAAGTAGTTTTTGCTGCATTTTTTTGACTGAACTGATACTTGTTCGACTGGATACGAAACATAACAATAACGTTCAGCTGAATCATCAGTTTGCTCACACGAGCATCACTGATACAAGAAGATTGTTCAAATATGCTTATAGACGCAGTTTTTCAAGGTGATTACAAATCTGGACTCAAAAACAAATGAAACTCAAATCTTCGTGGTAAAAATTTAAATTTTTAAATTTTAAATTTAAATTCCTAATCTAGATATTTTATCCAAAAATTCTCAAAACTATTTGGTCGGATAGAGAATCAAACGCTCTACAAAAGGGCTCATTTAAACGAAAAAACTTCCATTTCTTGAAACTCCGTAATGGTCTCTATTTCGATTTTAACTTTTGGTCCGCTTGATCAATCAAGCTCAAATTGTTTTTGGTAGTAGAACTCCCAAATATCCATCATTGACATAAATTTCAATGATAAACGTGCACCCTTGCCGAGACAACGGCCACCGAAGACGAAAAAGTGATATTCCGTAACATTTGGTCAAGCCGTGTACCAGTTTTTACAGTTACAGTTAACAGTAACTGTTGCATACCTATTGAAGGTTACGCTGAACGTTTGAAAGTGAAGACATCTTTGCGATGGTGCACAATACTTTCCTGTGTCATTTTAAGTCCGCTACAATATCGCACACCTAGAGAAACACATCCACAGATGCTTTCACACTGTCCTCCTCTAGAAGAGAGTGTACTCTTCACCTGCAACAGTCGGTAGACTATGTTATAAATAAACAACGCCTTCGCTTAGTACCCATACGGTTTGCGGCAAAACATGTACACCGCCCAAGCGTTCGTCACAGAGAGCCATATGCACAATGTCTGTGTGTATGTACGTCCATCACAATCATCCATATAGATTTATTTTGAAGATTTATTTTAGAACTTTAATGAAAAAAAGTGGTAAAAATGTGAAGACTGAACCTCGAACTGGTGTTAGAGCATTGAACCTGTATCGACAATGTAATATGTATTTCAAAACATGGTGTACCTGCCTATTTTTTGAATAACTGAGAACAGATCTGTTCAAGTGATCCTTTAGCCATGATTGGAATAAAATGTCACCTTATTTTCAAAGGTTTCTGGAAATCCTTCCCAAAAACCAGGTACTTTCTTTTGCTTTCCAAAACTTTTATTGAAATCCATGATGTGCTAGAAACAAAACGGAGCATGTACTGAAATTTTAGTGTAGTTTACATTGACTTTGTGAGAGTTATGAATTGTTTAATTTCAGTGAAAATAGCTATAAATGGGTTCCTGCTATGGGTTTAGATAAGATAAGATAAGGTTTTATTTTACTAAATAGCAGAATATGACAAAAAAGAACAAAAATCTTGTGGCATCCGTGGATACCCTGTTCATCAGCTTCTTCAATTATGTTTATAAAATCTTGGAAGAATTTCACACCCAAGTTGTCCACTAACGATTAACATCATTAGACGCTTGTTCTCCTGTTCAATAAATGCTTCGCATTCACCAGCATTTTCAAACGTTCCCGAACTACGTATGAATAACTTTCGCAGTTTCACTTGTATTTGAATGTTAATCGTACCAGCATAGGGCTGTAGGCAGATCAGATAGAAAGAGACAACGTCCTTGGAACAGCTGATTCTTTCGAAGCCTATGTAACTGGTTTGACATCAACAATATAGAACTTTGCAGCTGGATTCGACTGTGATTTAACTAAACGTTAAGTAACTGATGATAGAATGGCTTCGCTTTCATTTGGAAAGGCTCAATGGTTCTGGATGGCTCCTTCTTCGATACATTTGATATTTCATAGCGTTCGTTTACTCATGCTACCAAGAAATGTATCGGTATATGTACCATGTCTGCACATGAACTCGTGCCTCATTAAACGTGTATCTAAAAGGAACACGAAGACTTATTTCTGAAAACGCTGTTTTGTCAAGTCTACCCGGACGATAGTGTCAGCTCAAGTCACCGTTGACACCGCATCCTATACGATCTTGTATAGATAGTAGTTTGCTTAATGCTAACATAAATAAATTATTATAGGCTTGATACAGTACTAATTTTGTTCAATCTTTATCCTTCATGCTTTTGTAGCGATCATTTCGATTGTGTTTGACGCGCAGCGTATAGCGGTACAGCCACAGTACTTCAATCACAGGATGCTCTGAGATCAAATGACAGTGACGTTTCGAATCAGAACTGAAAACACACACTAAAATTTTCCCGTTATCATTCGAAGAACCTAAAGACATACATCTGGTATCGAACTTTTTACCGGCAAAAGCAATATTACACTTTAGATGAGCAAATTTTAAAAATATTTCAACTTTGTGACACTGAATGAAAATAGAGTTCAAAGCTCAAAAGAAAGGAAACAAATTGATGTGTGCTGTTAAGAAGATACTTCAAG